CGCTTTCCCGGCGGCTGCCGGCACGCCGGCGGCTGCGGCGCTGCCGCTCTCCGCAGTAATTACTGCTTTCCAGCGGGCTGTAATTGCTGCAAGATGCAAACTCGCCCGAGCCACCGCGGCACCGGCGGCACAGCCGGCCCTGACACGGCCGCTCGCTGTTCGCCCTCCGCGTCCGTGCCCTGAACTTGGAGCATCGGAGCCCACCCATCAGAGCGGGGCATGGGATCCCCCGGGCTGCCGGCACACTCATCACCACCGTGCCTCCTGCCATCCCTAAAGCCAGCCCAGCCACTGCCAGCCAGTGCCCACCAGCAGCTCCTTCTCCCAGATGTTTCCCTGCCTCCCAGCTCCCTCCCTCACTGACATTCCCATGGGATGCGTCCGGCACCCCCCAGCTCCCCCTCCCTCCCTGACCTGCTCTATTTTTCCAGCCTGCACTCAATAACAGCTAAATAATTGAATCTGCTCAGCAGCCAAAGATTTGGTTTGAATTTTATTGGAATTTTAAATTGTTTTGTTTCTTCAGTATTTTATTACTGTAAATGGAAAATGCATCGCCCGCAGTAATAATCCGATGGCTTTTTATATTACTCTGAGCTTCTGCTTGGAGCATTATTGGAAAGCCAGGCAGAGAGGAGACCCTGGCTAATGGCAGCACGGGCTTATGAGATTACGCCTCCAGCTAAACAACTTTTTACTTTAGCAAATTGGCCACCAAACCCAGTCCCAGACACAGATGTAAATCCCAGACCCCGCTGGGGATGCGGTCCGGAATAAATCTCGGTTTATGCAGCAGGGAGCTTTATGCCCGGAGCAGCAGGGTGAGGCAAAATGTCTGGCAGGGACCAGGGATGGCTGCAGGAAGGGTGGGAGAAACCCCTCCCAAAAGCCTCCTCTAACGTGCCCACCTGCTGCCAGCACCACTCACATCCCCCACTTCCCCCTCACATTCAGCATTCCCTGCATCTCCCAGATCCCCCACATTCACGGTATTCCTTGCATCCCCTGCACTCCTCTGACCCCAGGTGCCCCCAGGGACCCCCACACCGTGCCCAGCTGCAGCCACTGCCCACGAGGTCTAGGAAAAAAATAGGAAGATGGGAAGCAAAGAGGGAAAGGAAGAAAACCAGGTTATCTGGTTAAAGTAGTTGTGGGATCAAAATGGCACCGGGAAGGATGCTCAGGACCAGGAAGGACACTCAATACAGGCAAGGATGTTCAGGATCAGGAAGAAGGTTTAGAACCAGGAAGGACAGAGTGGATCCTCACTGCTAGGAAGGATGCTCGGTACTGGGAAGGATGCTCCAGACCAGGAAGGACAGGATGGACACCCAGCAGAATTTCCACTGTCTATGTGTCCCCCAGGCTGGTGCTGGAACAACATCCCTGGCTGGGATCCCTCTTCCCTGGAGGAGAATGAGCACAGGCACTGGCAATTTGTGCCTTTAATTTCCAGTCCATGAGACTGCACTGCCTGGCAGCTGCCCAGCTCTGGAAGGGGATGGGGAGCAGGATGCTTGGGTGCACAGAAGGAACAATTTGGGGATCAGCACCAGCAGCAGCACAGCCCTGAGCAAGGACTCCTGAGGGAGAATCTGAGTGGGAATGTGGCAGGACACGGCACCTCACTGGTTAACAGCAGCACGAGAGAAACGTGCAGCTCCCTCCCTCCCTCCCCCCCATCCCTTCCGAGATAAGATGGGACAATCCTTATTTTTACACATCGAAGGCGCTACAATATTTTGCAATAAATGAAAGAAGTAATCTCGGCAGGGAATCTTTCTAAAGCTGCCGAAGGCGACGTGTGGCTGGAAGCTTCCCAGCGCCGGGGATGGGCCTCGCCTTCCCCTGGTCCCAAGGGAAAACGCTTTTCACCCCTTTTTTCAGATGGGAAAAAAGCTGCAATGGAGGGCTCGGCCCCAAAAAAGCAGCTCAGGGAAAGCGTCTGCCCCAGCTCTGTCTTCACGTGGTCCCATTGCCACATCCACCCTGGGAAGGGGCATTTTCCTGATGCTCTGAGCATCCTACTCAACCTGCTCATCCTCACCCTCCATCCCTGTCCTGCCCTGCCCCTCTCCCACAACAGCACTGGCATCTCCAGCCCTGAGCTCCTGGTTTGTTCCTGCCCGGACTCTCTGAGCCAGCAGGGCAGAAGGGCAGCAATTAGGCAGGATTTTTAATTGGCAGAGGGGGCAGGAGGGGTGGGAAGGGGAGCGAGGCTGGGCGGAGGCAGGAGCACACTGGGGACCTGAGCAGCCGTGCCAATGGCTCTTATTAAAAATAATAGTGCTGCAGCCTCCAAATGAATTAAATTCTGTGAGAGCAGAATTTAAGAGAGCAGACCCAGCTTTGGGACCAGGATCCCTGTTCCCCTCGCAGCAAGGCAATCCCAATGCCTTCAAAGCTTCGAAAAGCATCAAAAATCCCCTTTTTCTCTGCCTGCCACACTGGGAACAGATTTTGTAAGAGCTAAACCCTAAATATTTGCAAAACACTTGGAAGAAACCTCAATATTTGGAAAACACTTGGAAGAAAACAAACAAAAGCTGCTACATTTAACAAATCGAGACAGTCCTTCAAGTTTTGGGTCTGTGCCCCAAGTAGCAAAGCTGCCTGGCAGGATCTGGCTGCCCTGGAGGGCAGAGCCTGGCACAGCTGGCACACGGAGCCGGTGACCCCCAGCCAAGGGCAGGGCAGGCTCCAGAGGGTCCCAGACAGAGCTGGGGGGTGGCTGGGGGATGCTGCCCTGCCCAGACCAGGGTGCCCAACGGGTGGGCAC